GTGTGTGTGTGTGTGTGTGTGTGTGTGTGTGTGTGTGTGTGTGTATGTAAAGTGTGAGTAAATTTAATGTTTACATTGAATCGATTAACAATCACTCCTCACATTATAGTATAATTACCTTAATAATATGTTTGCTGTTGTTTTACTGTGTTGGTTTTATTGAGCATTTGCCACTGAGTATAAGAGTAATATATATGAAATAAAAAAGAAAATAAATAACCCAGGGATTTTTTATTTAAWAGTTACTTGTAATTGTTTTTCTTAAATATAGCTAACGTTTGCTTTTGATATATCTTGAACAGTATATTTTTTATTGAATTTTCAGTTTCTCCCTAGTGTGTGTGGTTTTGTCAAGATTAATTAAGAAGGTAAGTATTGATGCTTCAGGCAGTTCTCACTCAGACTCTTACTGGCCCCTGCCACCAAAATCCCAAATCAATATCTGTTTCTTATCAAATTCTCTGCCTAAGCCCGCCAGAGTGACAGTTGCGCGCAAACACACAAACAGACACACACACATACACGGGATTCAATTGCTTGCTATCTATCCGACGCCTCTGCAGGAGCAGCAGGCAGGACATCAGTGCTGCTAATGTCAAACGATACAAAGCATTGATCACAGATTACTCAATAATGAGTGATTTCTTCTCTGCAAAGATGTCAGATTATTTGTGTCCTTGCTCCGAATATCCATCATCAACTTCCTCAGTGGCAACGCATTAAAAATGACTGAACTGAATGTAGCATCACTACATGCGTCCCGTCACCTGTCACGCTGTTTTCAGGCTCATGTATTCACAAAAACAAGCCTCACGTTGGAACTCTGGTTATTAGGATTKTACAATGAATGTCAAGCGGTACTCACAGGGGAGTGAACCTGCCTTTGTCGGTCCCTATAGGGGCCTTGGCATTTCACAGCAACCTCGGTAGCTGTCGAGCATGACAAGGACATGTCATCCTGAAACTCAGGAGAGCTGGATTTCTCCTCTTCTCCGAAGCTCATATTCCCATTAGATACATGGATGTGTTGTTAGCAAATCTCCCAGTGACAGGGCGCTCAGCTTCYTTTGTTGGCAAAGTTAAAATGTATTTACTTTTATTAACAGCCCATGGCTCACTTTATTCCCTGTAATGTGAGAAAATGTCTTAAGTAATGAAGAGAAAGCACGGTTAGGCACAAACACGCTATCAGTTTTTATCTGTTTCGAACATCATACGCCGTCTTCTTCACCTTCTCCATCATACTCTTTTTCATCCACCTTCAGGTACTTTTCTTGCCTCTGACCCATTCCTTTTTATCGCAGCTTTGAAAGCGGTGTTGTCTCTCTCCACATCAGCACACACACACACACACATTCAGAACCCGTCTTTGTGTCGCCTCCCCCCACACACTCTCTTACCTCTCGTTTAATCTGGGGCTGAATCTTTCCCTCCTTGCTGCCACTCACCTGCAAGCCAAATCGTTCAAGGTTGTTTTGCACCCCCACCCCCCACCCCTTCCGCTCACATTTCCCCAATCAGATCGTYGCCCTTACCTCAGAGTCATTTTCCAAATTTAGCCACTAATTGGGTTTCTCCTGTGATTAACTCAATAACAGYCTTCATATTAGAGTTTAATGTCCCCTAATGAGTCCATTTGTTGGCCAGTGGCTAATTAGGTCTRCACTGTTTATAGATAGCCAAAACTATAGGCATTACTGAAACATTTCAGTCAATCAGTAATGTATACGAGCACACATCTGCTTTTAGCCTGTAGTCTTTTTTATGTAGATCCCCCACCCCAAAAAAACCGATTATTCTGTTCTGGTCCATGGATCAGGCTATATAATTTGTGAGACAGCTCAGTAGTAACATTAATGATAACTCCAGGAGAGCAGAATAAAATCCATTTAACACTGACTRACAAATCTTCTTTCCCCTCGACAAGCATTCGGTTACACTAGTGCTGATTGTATCCAGGATTTGTGTTGAGGAGACTTGTGTCTGCCTTTGTTAACTGCGGTAATCATTGAAATATTCATGTCTGCCAACTGKACACTTTTCAGCAGTGGTTATTCAGTGCACTTGCACTTCCATCTAGCAGYAACTCTCGTCACAACAGGAGGAAATACACAAGGCCCCGCAGCAACAATGAGGATCACGGGGGGAACAACAGGACCTCGTGGATGCTATCAAACTGGGATCTTTGACAAAGTTTCCACAGATTCGACTGACACGCGAAGACCCTGCCCTTGGAGTCTGAGCCGGCATGAGGCTTTGGCTCGATAAGGCAGTGGGTGAATGAATTTAAAGTAAGCAACAGGAGTCTGATACTGAGACTCATCCCAGTCGTATGCCTTCAGGTTAGCATGCTGTCAAAAGACTGGGTTTGTTTGAAGCAAAGTTGTGCCTGCACACAGCTGCAATCCCATGATAAAGAGAAAGGTTTGATAGGTAAGGCCTCCCGTCCTTCCATCCCTGCTCCTGTCTGAATCCTACTTCATTTGTATGCAAATAAAATGATAAAACTTTGGTCCATTCCTCTCTTAAGTTTGGCCTTGTAGCTCGATTTATGTTGTGGGTACGTGCCACCGGTTGCAGGTGTTATTTACAGCCTTTCATCTGTGCTCACACGCTGCACTGTTTTAGTTCTTCACCGTGACGATGTAAGAACCTAGATTTTAAAAGGATATCAGCAAAGAGAAAAAATGCCTTCTGCTATTTTTGTTTTATCTTCAGTTTATTTCTTGCTTCGATTTTTCAACAAGTAGGTTTTTCTTTTAATCATCTTTTAAATTATGTTGGGTCTAAAATTACCACTGTGTGGTCTGTTGTCTTGATAAAAAGTCATGTAGTTTTATTCATTCCAGTAAAAAAAAAGGAAAGTTGGTACCTGGAATTGTGTATCATCTACTATTAGGGTAGAGGTAGACCAGATATAATTGGAACAGGGGTACAGTTGTGTATGCAACATGCCTAATTTCTGATTTTTGYTGAGTGCATGAGTATTTGTGTCCTCTTTAAATATAGAAATATATTAGCTTTTTTCTATGATTGCTGAAGTTATCTTAGATTGTTGTAAACCATAAACTGTGCCTTAAAAAATACTTATTACAGTATATGACACCATGCCATGCATCATCTTTAGATCAAAAGCAAAGGTCTTCAACCCTGTTYGTCATAWCWCAGTCCTGCATGTTTTCACAGTTTCCCTGCTTTGGCACTCATGATTCGAATAATTGAATCACCAGGTCAGACTGTCATCAGATTTAGCAGAAGCCTGTTAATCGCTTATTTTATTTCAGTCAGGTGTATTGAAGCAGGGAAACATCTAAAGCATGTAGGATGGTGGGTCATTAGGAGCAGTGTTGAAAACGTCAGATCTAGTTTTGTGTACATAAAAGATGAAAAAATGGAAAAAAATAAAGGCAATAATGACTATATTATATAATAAACTGTTAATTTAAAAACATTTGGGATGCACTAGGCTACCTGTTTCAGCTGCATATGTATATCTGCCACGTTTATGTTCATACTACACATGTCTGATATGTCCTGCTGGAACGTGATGTGATTTGTATCACAACATGTGCAGGTGTGATAGATCGAGTCCAAACCAACAAGAGTGTTGGAATGGTTTTTTACACTTCTCATAGCCACAATCAAATCGAGGTGCCATATACAGTATCTGGAGAGGTTTTTATTTTTCTGAACAATGATAAACCAGAATGAAAACAAGCTGAAGTGAAATAGAAATCAAATGCTTTGTGCATTTTTCAAAATGTAATGAGTAGAAAGTACAGATTATTGCATGAAAATTTAAGGAGTAGTAAAAGGTTGACTGGAAATAATAATAATAACAATAATAAATCTAGAAAAGTATAAATAACCAAAACTATAAAGTATTTGTACTTCATTACCTGACACCTTTGGTACTACTACTGCTACTAATTGTACTATAAATAAATAAATAAATAAATAGACCTAGGCTAAGCCTACATATTTTGCATATAATGTGGACTTTTATTCGTTAATTTTTTTTAATGGTTTTGTCTTTAAGATAAACTTTGCTGGTACATTCATTCATTCATTCATTGGGGGCAGCCCCCCTTCATTGGTTGCCCCCCTGTCAACAGTTGGAGGGGCTCCGACCCGGACCTATCGACCCCTGCTCCCCGGCTCTCTGCCTCCGGCTCCGCCTTCCTCTCAGCCTGTAGTCCGCCACCCCGAAGCCCCCTCAGCTCCAGCTTCCCTCCCTTCCTCCTCCTCCTCTTCCTCCACAATCTAGACCAGTTTCCCCAACACGAGCCTACTTTCACCCACCCAAACTCATGGTTTCCCCGGAAGATAAACAGCCGAAAGTCCAGATTTAGACTCGCTGCATCGGTGAAGTTTTTTGTTTTTTTTCTCTTTTCTTTCTTGTCTGGCCCCGCAGCGGGGGCAGAACCAAACCACCAGGCCGAGGGGGAGAAGAAAAAAGGCGAACGTATGATGTGGATCTGGTACCTTCTGCTTGGTTCGGGGCCAGGCTCGAGAACTGCTGGTAAGTTTTATTTACTTTTTTTGTTTGTTTGTTTGTTTTGAAGACGTTCAGCAGCTGACGCTATCACGGCTCGAACACGCATCAGTTCGGGTGAAAAAAAAAGAGGTTAAAATTCACTGAAAGCTGCTTTGTTGTTTCGGCGAGTTTAAMCTGGAACTTCTTTCTTCTGAAAATGAAGTTGTCACATTCTGGCTTTTCTTTGATCTCCGCGTTTTGTTTGGACCCCGAGAGTTTTCGGATTCATTGAGCAGCAGTTTGACAGTTGTTGGTTCTGCCCACTTCACGGTGGAGTGTAAACATTTGTTTTTGCTTCAGAGCCTCCATGCTGTGTTTGAAGATGAATTTCCTCGGCGACGTTTAGGACCGATCTGTTGACAAGCCTGTCGGTTCTCCAGCAGCTGTGGCCCGGTGAAGGACAGGAGTTTCTGTCAAACAGGAACTGTACTCATCCCCAACATTCAGATGTGGGTTTGAGCTGCTGTTATGCCACATTAATCCAACCGGATTAACTGTTCCTATGGACTCAGATTTATGCATCAGCATGTGTGATCATCAGTAAAGTAACTTTAAAATCACATCTGAAAGTGTTTAATTATGGCAGTTTAGCCTTATATTTGCTATAATAAAGCTTTAGATCAGAGGTTCTCAAACTGGGGTCCCAGGACCCCCAGGGGTCCACGAGCCCTATCTTGG